TAACGGAGATAACACCTCCAAATCCCGCACCTGTAAGAGACCCACAGACACCTAAGCAGGCAGGGCACACAACCTCTGAGAATGCACATATTGTTCCTGTTTGACATGCAAGTTTACAAAACTACTTCCATGCATGGGGAAGCATGAGAGCAGACAAGGGAGTACCACCACAGGAAATAACTGCCGGGAAGTAATAGTGCCGTCAGCATTCAGCTTCTTGCCTGTTTATGACAAGAATAAAGTATGTAGAGCAAAATCAGCATGACCAAAAAAGAAATGGAGTTGAAATATCTGAAGTGAGAGATGACAAAGAGAAAGCTCTTGAAGATAAACATCTATTCACAGCTGAAAAGATTTCAGAAACAGCTAAAATGTACCAGGTAGAGAAGAGACAGCAGAGTCAGAGGTGGAGTGGAAGAGTCCTCTTTGAATCATTACTTTGACATTTGATGGGACGGGGTGGTGCAGACTCTCAGGTTCAAGCAACAGCATCAAGTAACTGCAGGCTAGAGAGGCTCAGACACGAAGCAAGTGGCCTTATCCCAGCAGCGCAGCATCAGCACAGAGCTCACCCACCACAGGCCAGCGCCGGAACAACAAAGGTAAAAAAAAACTCCCAGAAAAACAGCTGGCAATTCTGCTTTCACAGTAACATGGGGCTTGTGGAAAGGCCATCGTTATGGCCAGACACTGTCCTCTTCAGAAACCAAGCAAGGAGTTCGGGTGAGTCCAATGCAAACAACAAAAAGCAAAGGTGTTCCTGCCCTGGAGGCAGGATACCTGCCCACATGGGCTAAACCACACGGCTACTGCTTTGTTTTCCAGTCAGCTGTCATCACAGCTCACTTTCCACATCTGCATAACACAGGTTTCTACTTTCACACATTCAGACAGAGGTAGGGCCAGATGCCGAGCTCCCTCTAACGTAGGAATAGAGCGAGCAGTGAGATCTAGGTCAGAACGTTTTCCAAAAAATCTCTCTTTCATCAGAGCTGTCTGTTCCAACGCAGCCGAAGCGACGCTGGAGACACCCTCCTTTCAAAGTAGCCTCTGTTCTTTCTGCGCAAAAACTAAGAGGACAAAGAGGGTGAGACAGAGAACCTTTTTCTAAGGATTCAAAATCCTCCACCTTAACCCACCTACTCTACTAGTTGCATAAATGGAGAAAAACTAGTAATTTGAGACAGAGAATGCAGTAAAACTATCTCAGACACCTCTACTACGTACATCAATTTACTCTCTGAAAGCAAAGCATTGTTTTACAGCTATTTTCATTAGATCCGCCTGAACTGGTTTCTTTTCCCTGTATTCCAATAGCAGAAGTGAAATACAGCAGCCATCCGTCAGCCGGATCTCAGCCCAAAATCCCGAAACACTACCACCACCATCTGAAGAGAGTGATGCTGGTGTCGGAAAGGTAAGGAAAAGGGTTTTCTTTCCCCTCTCCCTTCTTGGAGCTACTCAAGACAGCAAAAACTTTTCAAACAAGTTCTCCTTCAGCCAGGTGGGCATGTTTCATACCCCTTCCCTAAGAGAGTGCTGCAGGGCAAGCAGGGAGGGAGGACACCCGATGAGCGCCTGGAGATTAAAGCTACGTCAGTGGTCTGATGAAATCTTTTCATACAAAATATTCTCTGACGTACCTAGTGCAGGTACTGGATGTTGTCTCCCCAATAGGATTTATTTAGGGATAACTAATACAAAGGGATATTTAACCATTACACACAGCCAGCCCAGGAAAAGAGGTTCAGACTAAATGACCAAGGATTGCTATTTATCGATATTTGCCCTATTAAGAAAAAAAGCACAAGAAGAAGAAAGAACACTTAGTTATCAAAGTACGTTCCCTTTCAGATGCATTACATATGCTGGCACGGCGTAAGAAGCCAAGTCTGGCATCTGCCTGATAAAATTTAGGTTGCAAACTCAAATACACCTGCAGGTTAGACACCCTGAGGTTTGGTGCCACACAAACATGACTGGAGGAGATACGAGCCGGAAAGCCCCTAGTGCTCTTTCTGCTATTTCCGTATCATCTGTGCTTACTTTACAAGCTTAACAAGCTTTTGGATACAGGTCAGCCCCGGCTCTTCTCACAGTGATTTATTTTCTTGTCTCTGGCGATGTGTAAATGACAACACATATATCTGTACAAGCTTTGTTTCAGGTCTTCAGAAACAGGACAGCAATAGGCACCACCATTACAAAATTCAGTGGGTTTTGTGCTCACATGTGACAGGGATCAGTGCTGGTGACCCCATGCCTTTCTCTCCTTCTCCTGCTGGATTATCTTCTCCAGTGGAAGGTATCAGTGGCTTAATATTGATAAAACTAATTCATAGGTGCTCTCCACGGCACTGGATGGGTCTATTCTGGGCTGGACTAAACAGCAGCCAGCCTGCCACACAAGCACCAGTGGGAGTCATGGGAAGAGCAGCAAAAAGCTCTGGATTTGCGTATATAACACAATGTAAGAAAAATCTCAAAAAAATTAACTGCAAGTCTTTTAATACGTGACTGATGGAAGAGGTTGGGGTGGGAGGCTGCACCCTTACCGAGCATCAGGTGCATCCCTGGCACGCTCCCATCCCACACAAACCATTGCTACCCCCACCAACGGGGACAGCTTTCAGCGGCAGCGCTGCTGCAGGGCTCTGACTGAAATGGACGTTTCTCCGTGCAGGATCTCCCTCACCCCCATACCTATCAAGTCAGACTTTCCCAACTCCTTTTTCCCCTCAGAGACTCTGGAGAGCCGCCTGAGCCCCCGCAGGCACCCAGCTCGCCTGTCTGCCTCTGAGAGATCCTCTGCTGACGGCTCCCGGCTGCCAGGAGGGAAGAGGAGCGGGTTTACACTCTTCACCGTTTGCTGCCTTAAGAGCTGGAGACGCTTGCTCACACTCAGAAAAAGACAGATCAGCCTCAATTTCTATCTGGTTTGTGCTCAGAAGTACTTTGTAATCATGAGACACTAAGCCAGAATTTAAGTTTTCCATAAAACCAGAAAATTCTCAGATCCCTTCATTTGGCAGAGAGAGTATTTCTTCCTCAAAATAGGCATAAATATGATGTCTGTTTATGAAATCAAACACCACCACCACAGCAATTTGGGGCTGCATAAATAGGACAGAAGAAAAGCAGAAGAACAGTTGGAGGTATTAGCGTTCCCCAGGTCAGCTTTGCCTCAAAGAAGAGTCAAGTTCTTTGCATCTAATCAGCAGAAAAGTATTTATCAATTAGGTGGTGTTGAAAGAACATTAAAAAAAACCCAAACTGTTCGGGGGATGAAGGTCTATAATTATGAGGAAGCATTAAGAGTTTTATTACACAGCTTGATTAACGATGACTATGGGAATGAATTAAGCTGCAAATGTTATCGTGCAAATAACTAGGAGGGGTCAGGATTATTTAAAGTTAATGATGAGCACCAGAAATATGATGAAATTTAAAAAAAAAAAAAAAGGCAACTGAGCCTTCCTGTTAGGTGTGTTTCCTCATTTTATTTGGCTGTGCCTCAGCCTCACCAGGGAGGAGATGGAAGCTCTACAGGGTAGGATATTTAAATCTAGATTTCCCTTTAGAAATGAATAAAAGTACTGGGAAAATAGTCTAGCAGGAAAATGAACTGCTACAGGCTTGATGTAACAAGCCTTTCCCATCTTTGTTCACTTACTTACAAAAGCAGAAGCTAGTTTGTTAGCTTGTGAACAACTGGATTCTTAGGGTAGAAGTTTTTACCATGACGTGCACAGATGAGTCACGTTTTTACACTGTAGTTATAATATTTTTCTATATATAAATGGTGGTAGCAATTCTTGTTTGGCCTTGAGAGCCCATTACATAGAATGCCCCAAAATACCTGCTTTTGCGGAATAGTGGACTGCGAGCAAGAGAGCACTGTCAGTAATATTTTCTCACTCACATAATGTGCAAACTTCCATGGTAGCACGACTGGTGAAGGGAAGTTATGTGCATACCCACCATGAGCACAGCACAGCACAGAGTGAAAGGTTTGCCAGGAGGGCTGGTTGGGATCTAATATTGGGAATCACAGCTCTGTTTTGGCTTTAAGAGTGCAGGAAGATCAACTGCTATACTAACAAACTATTAAATCAAAGCCCACTAGTACGTCAGTCACTTGGCTCTGCCGGGGGCTCAGGAGAGGCACAATCCTATAAATTTCCAACTTTTAACATCTCTGGGTTGCTAGCTGTGGAGGTGCGCCTGCCCGGGGGCAGCAAAGCCCACCGGCAGGAACTCCATCCTCACCTGCTCACTGGGATCTTTCACTGGGGAGTTGCAGTAAATGTTTTCTGGGTGTAGACAGGGACCCCAACCGTTACACCTCTTCCATTAGCATTTTCCGAGTGCCTGCACTCGGCTGACACTACAAAATAAGTTAGCTTGTCTCGAATACATCCTGGCATCGTAAATCAGACAGAAACATGCCTGAAAGGAGGCATATGGAAAAGATAAGTGTACCTGTAACATTCCTCCTTTATTTACCTGGCCTCTCAGTGAAGTTGACAAGCGCACTCAGCTTCACCAATAACCAGTGGTATCAAAGTCCATGCCTCTAGGGACACAGGTATAGTGACACAGCCACGGTAAAACATGATTCACAAAGGCTGGGCTCCTACTTCTAAGTTCCACCTTTTTTTTTTTTTTTTTTTCCGGCACTTACTAAGGATCCAGATGAATGCTTCCCTTTTTCTGTGTCAGCTGCTGTGTATTTAATGAATACCAACTGGCTGTTAGGAATACAAGAAAGAGTTAACCTCCGTGGGATCACCTTTACCTCACAGGTACACGCCCATCTTTTACAGTGGTAATTCAAAGCCAAGTCACTGGGAGCAGCCCCAGGAGGGCACAGTCACCCACAAATATTGCTCCTAAACTTACAGCCTCATCACTATAAAGACAACCACCCTCTCCAAGTAATGACATTGCCAACAATCCTTGTCATATCTGATGGCTTACTGATATGTTTCAAACACACAGCCAACAGTTTAATCCTGCAATGGTCCAGACTAAGTCATCTTGAGTCATATTACAGTGCAGCACAGCAGCTCTGCGTTGCAACATTTTGATAATACACAGACGCTGCCAGCCAAGTACTTTCCAGATGCAAACCAGTATAGAGCTTTATAAACAAAATCCCTTCCTTGCCTCCCTACCAAATGACATCCTACTCTTCTTTTTCCCTTTCCACTTCTTCCCTCTCATGTGGCATTTGCAAATGTGCATTAAGAAGCAATGCAGTTTAGGAGACACTCCTATTTGCAAATCTTTGTCCGTCTGTTCCTGCCCCTTTGTCCCCATTTAAAATAAGTGACTCGGCTGCTTTTTCCTCTTCCTCTTCTCAGCTGCAGCTCAATTAAGAAACTGTCTAATGGAACTTTCTATTGATGGGGATCCACTCTGAAGTTTTCATTTCATCAGGAGAGGCACAGGACGGTTAGTGCATAGTAGTTACTGTATGCAAAACACAAGTTATGCACCTCAATTAATTAACTTCTGTTTTCCTGCAGCAGTGCTGCAAATGCCTGCTAGGCATTTTTTCCTTTGTAAATGCCCTCACTTATTTTGAGCCTAATGGCATTAGCATAGAAAAAAGGAAACAAAGTACATCAAACCTGAACTCATACGTTACATCCTGTCTCCAGATGTAAATAGTATTTGAGTAGACAGTGGCACTGATGTCATGAAAATTAGAGAAGAGGCAAAATCAAGTTGGTCTAAATAAGCCAAGTATTTAAATAAATTTTGAGTTAAATAAGCCAAGGCTTAAACAAGCAAAGTCAAGGATACTATTCCTCTTTGACAACTTGTTAACTAGAAAAAAACAGCTGAAAGTTGCCCCACAACACTCAGGGCTGACGCAAAGCACACACCCATCAGCACTCAGGGACATGAGAAGCAGTGTCAGGACAGGAGAAAGCAAATTTCAACAGCTCTACTGTATTAGCACTTCTTCCCTGTGCAATGCAAATTTCAGCAGCTCCGCACTAGCTTTTCCTCTCTGTCTAATGGGGGAGACGGATATTTTTGTCGCACTAGCCAGATGTCTTCCACCTACAGCAAGACCTGCAGTCATCACTTGGCCGAGAAAGGAATATATTGCTCTTGCAATATATTGAAGATTTAGCTTACGCAGAGTGTCGCAATGGAAAGCTGCTGGAAGTCAGTCCACGGTGCTTGGGTGAAAAGGGATCTGCCCAGGGCAGCAGTCCCAGCTCTCCCAGCTGCAACGTACCCTTCCAGCTCCCCAGTCCCCAAAGTACCCTTGTCCAGGATCTTAAGGCGGGTCTGCTTACTTGTCCAGAAGTATTCTGGTTGAGGGAAAAGCAGATGTAATCAGACCCACGTGTTCTAGCAAAAAAACCAACCGAAAAGACCCCCAAAAGCCCAGAAACTGGGAGTGTACAGTAAGAATATTACACTGGCGATGCCAGATACAGAAGCAGCTCAGCAAGTTGAAACAGAGGCCCAATTATCCCCTGATTTAGGCCCCCATGCAAAAGAGAGGTATATTCAGGAAATGGCATTTTTTCCGTCTACAACCCACATCAGGCCATTTTAAGCTGCAGGTTGGGAGGCAACCGAATATCCGAGTTCCCTTAGCCAGGCAGGGTTAAATTAAGGCCCTCTCTCCCTCCGGAGGAGCTGGGGGAAGGCAGTTTTGCTACCGTCCAGGTGTAACTTTGCATAGGAGGCCCTTCGTGAAGGTTTCCATGTTCGCCATGCGACCAGCGAGGCCACCAGGCGCTGGCCAGTGCCAGGCAAGGCTGCTGGGACCGCAGCCTGCAGGTCACTGCGAGAAAGCAAAATGGAGAGCTGAAGGGACTTGTGGTCAGTTGGCTCTCTTACTGTGGTTGTAAAATCACTTTGAAAAAGAAAAGAAAAGAAAAGAAAAGAAAACAAAAAAAAAAAAACCACGGAAACCACCCTGACTTCTCAGTGTTGGACAGATCGAAAAGTTTGTCCTGAAGCAGCCTGGACCCGCGAATCTTTGCTGGTTTAAGCCCTGAAACAGCGTTAGTACTGGTTCTGCAAGCGGAACCCCATCCCAGAAAGCCACAGCTCTGCACCAGAGGCGGGGAGACAGCTCATGGCCGTGGTACCCCCTGAACCCGCCGCTTCCCAGCTGCCGCCCCGGGGTGCAACGGGGGTCCGGGGCCGGCGTCCCCGGGAG